TTTTAATTAGTTTTATTTACATATATTTTAGGTTGTGCAATAGATAAGAAATCTTGCATATATTAAGCAAAATTGTGTCATAATTGAATTAATCAAGCAATAATAAAAAGGAAAATTAATGAAAATTAATGAAAATGATTTGAAAATTTTGAGTTTTAACAATAAGGATAAAATAAATGGTAAAATAAATAATACCAAGATTGACCTTTTAATGTAAAAATGTGATTTTTCGTTAAAATAAATAGTATCAGAAATTTTTTGGTTAAAGTTTCCATAATAAAATGACAATCATTTTGAAGGGAGAGACCTCGTCACGTTAATGCAAGAATTCAAAAAACCGGAAGAATTAATTAATTATGAACTGGCTATTATTTATAAAAAGAAAGTTAATCATCATAAAAATAGAAAAAATATCACCCAACAGGGCCTCTGGGCCACCAACCGCTTTCGAGATTTTTTGTCTTCTCTCTTGGTCTCCACCTCACTTCACGTGACCCTCAGATTCAAGGTCTCCTTTTTATCATTCGTGACTCCTGAAACTTCACTCTTTACACTCGCCTCCTCACACCCGTTCCCATCCACATCCATGCCTCCACCACACTCCGTCGCACTCTCAGCCATGATCCTCCTAACACTCTACTCAGCTGCCACCGCCGCCCGCTCATGTTTCCCAAAACCATCGTCCTCCTCCACATTTTCATGTCCACCATTCACTTCGCCGCCGCCGTTCCCCTTTTCTTCTTCACCAGGCTGCGGCCACCCTTCTTTCCAAATCCAATGCTCTGCCCCCCACTCCACCATCTCCATCAATAACCTCTCTTTCTCTCTCATCAGCTACGATGCCAACGCCTCCTCACTCCTTCTCTCTCCCCACAGCACCAACTTAACTGCCACAAACTGCTCATCCTCTCACTATTCTTCCATCCCCAGCCGATCCATCAACATCTCCGCCTCCCCATTTCGAATATCCGACGCCTCCTGCTCCCGCCTCTCAGTTCTCAAGCCTTGCTCCCCGCCGAATCTTCCCAACTGCAGCCATTGCCCTTGGGAATGCAAGCTCATCAAAGACCCACTCAAGCTTCTCCACGACTGCGGATCTCCGCACCCCCCTGTCACCCACCAGGGCTGCCACGCAGACGTTTTGAGCTTTCTCGACTATTTCCTCAAAATTGGGATCGAGCTGGAGTGGGACGAAGCTCAAGACTCTTACTTTTCCAGCTGCAGAGCTTGCAAGTCCAACAATGGCTTCTGCGGCTTTAACTCATCCGACCCAAAAAAGCAATTCCTCTGTTTTCACGCCGAACCTCACCTTACGCCGCCGTGGATCAGCAAAGACAACCCGAACCGAATCGCCATCTTGTCCTCTGTGTTCACATTAACTTGCTTCCTACTCGTCGTCTCTGTTATCATAGCCGTCTTCAGGTCCAAAAGATTAAGCTCCGCCGCAACAGAGGAAGACCCAACAACTCTGTTCCTCCACCGCCACCGCTCCGCCAACCTCCTTCCGCCAGTTTTCACATACGAAGAGCTCGAATCCTCAACAAACCACTTCGACCCGAAACGCAAAATCGGGGACGGTGGGTTCGGGTCTGTCTATCTGGGTCAGCTCTACGATGGCAGAGTCGTCGCCGTAAAATACCTCCACAAACCCCTCCGCGGCGCCGCCGCATCCGGGAAAGCCTTCTCCAACAAATGCTTCTGCAACGAAATCCTAATCCTCTCCTCCATTGACCACCCAAATTTAGTCAAACTCCACGGCTACTGCAGCGACCCGAGAGGCCTCCTTCTCGTCTACGACTACGTTCCCAACGGCACCCTCGCCGACCACCTCCACGGCCCCAAAAGCCTCCATCGGAAAGGGTCGATGACGTGGCAGGTGAGGGTCGACATTGCTCTGCAAACGGCCATGGTTATGGAGTACCTGCACTTCTCGGTGGTGCCGCCGGTGGTCCATAGGGACATAACGTCGTCGAATATCTTCATCGAGAAAGATATGCGGGTTAAAGTCGGGGACTTTGGGCTTTCCAGGCTCTTGGTATTCCCCGAAACGACGTCGTCCAGCTCCGGGTACGTTTGGACCGGTCCGCAGGGGACGCCCGGTTACTTGGACCCGGATTACCACCGGTCGTTCAGGTTGACCGACAAGAGTGACGTGTACAGTTTCGGTGTCGTTTTACTGGAGCTGATTTCGGGGATGAAAGCGGTGGACCAGCGGAGGGACAAGAGGGAGCTGGCGCTGGCGGATTTGGTGGTGTCGAAAATCCAGATGGGCCTGCTCCACCAGGTGGTGGACCCGGTTCTGGTCGTCGACGGTGACGTATCCGACGGCGTAGATGCGGCGGCTGAGCTGGCGTTCAGGTGCGTGGCGGCGGATAAGGACGACAGGCCGGACGCCAAGGAAGTGGTGGAGGAGCTGAAGCGGATCAGAAGCCACACTCGTGGGGTGTCCCGGGTGTCGAGTTCGAATGTGATTGGCGATGACGTGACAAAGGGATGATCTGATTGGACAGAGGGTGGGGCCTGGTGTGCATGTGCGGGGTTTGAGTTGGACTGATAAGTGAAAGAGTGAGGGAGGGGGGAAGTCAGAGATGGTGGTTGAACGAACGTGAATAGATTTGTGTTTGGATAACTTTGGATCTCCCCTGCGCTTTTCCCCTGCTTCTGGTTTTTACTCTCTCTCTCTCTCTCATCTCCCTCCAAATCAAATTTTGGCGGTTTGTTCTATCTGCTAATTTATCAGTTCCAATTCGATCGTTGATCATGTCCTTCATTGCTTCGGTGTGCGTCATATATCGAAGCATCGTAAATAAATGTTGTTTCTAAATTTTCAATTTTGGTGGAAATAGTTGCTCGGTTAATTTGTGTGGAGAATATTAGCTATCTCGGTTGTAGTTGTAGATACCCCTAAAGTTAAGGGTACAAGAGAGGCGGTCCTGTTAAGGTTAGGTAATGCCATGCCACCTTTAAAACGTGTGGGCTTGTGAGCGTTGAAGTCGTACTCAAATACATCGGAGCCTGTCCCTGTGAGAGTGTGTAACCATCAAGCTGCTTAGGCTGTTCTACACATGTTTCTCCGTTTTCCCAGTTGTAAACACAGAATTGCAAAGAGAAAGAAACGTCAACTAGCTGTTTCCAAGGTAGGAAATTAGGTTGTTCATTTATTTGAAACCAAATGTACATATTTGTTCATGTTATACACGAGTATCCCGTGTAGATGGAACATTCCAAGTATAATGTAATGTGTAACGATAATACATATAGTACAGAGGAACCAGGATCCTCTCCTGAGCAGTTCCTACGGATCCCGCAATCTTGTCCGTTCATTTTACATCGTGCGATTAGTTTTCATTAGGTACTATTTATATTTGAATTTTAAAATTTAAATTTCAAATAATTTCTGATCGCACGATATACGATAAAGACATGATTGCGGGATCTCTAAGTAACTGCTCAGGAAAGGATCCTGGTTCAGTACAGAGGACACATACAACACCTGGTTTCCTCACTACAAGGTCATGAAGATGCAAGCGTTTGGCTTGGCTTGGCTTTTAGCACAGAGGACACATACAACACCTGGTTTCCACATATTATTTGTATTAATAATTCTTGTCCAAAAAAATTTGTATTGATAATTCACATATTATTTAGTAAATAACCAAGTTTTTCTTGCTCAAAAGACCACTGACAGTGAATTATCAATTATGTGCATTATTAATACAAATAATATTGACTCTAAGGTCGATATGTTGAATGAGGATTCTCTTCGTGAGAATTTCGGAGATCCTTCAATCATATTTGTTTATTATATATCATGCAGTCAGAAATTATTGTAAATTTTTTATTTAAAATTAAATATAAATAGTACTTGACGAAAACTAACCGAACGATGTACAATAAACAAATGTAATTGAAGAATCTTCGAGATCCTCACAAAAATGATCCGGCCTCATTCCGATATGTAATACATAAGCAACCAGGTGTCGACGAGTTTATTATTTTCATCAAGAAAAATGAAAGTAAAATATCCTATCCATGAGCACCAGGTGTCATTTCAGTTTATAGTTTTCTTTGTAGGTTAAATATCACAGCCGCTACACTATGTTAAGTTTAAGTAACAACGAGCGTCATGTAAAATCATTTTGTGAATAACAATTAATTATGCCGAGAATAATTGAGGGCATAGTTAACTTGGCAATCAAGTTAATGAAATCTTTAAGACTCTCTCGGTGCCTTAAAGAAAATAAACATATTGGAGTCCTAATTACATGCAATCAATTATGGACCTTTATTAAGTAAATTCAAAGAATAAAAGTCATGATGGGACTCTAATTGATTAGATATGATTTGGGTTGATATCATTTCTGATAATAGGGAGGAATTGGTTGCCCTAGCTATATAACCAAGGAGCGGTCCTTGCTTCTATACCAACTGAAACTCACAAAAACTACTAGCCTATTTTGATAGTAGAGTTCATTGAGAGGTACTGGAAGTAGAAGACTACTTCTACTTTGTTGCAAGGATCAATGGCTTCATCTTCATAACCATGTCTTTCGTATTCTACATATAAGTTTAATATAATTAGTCGATCTCTATTTTATATTGATTTGATTTATTCGTGATCCTAAAGCCTTGTTGTGATTTCAGAATATATCTTACACATCATACTTTAAAACATGTTAGTTTATAAGTATCACTAGTTTATAAGTATCACAATCATAAATTCAATATATTAAACTCGTGAGTATTGGCTCATTGTAGGTGTGTGGTTCGTATATAAATTTAGGGGTGTGATATCCATACACCCCATTTTACTTCTCACACATCTTTTTAATTTTCGACCGTCGGATCGGATAAATTAAAGAAGATTAACGGATAGAAATAATCAAGGGGTGTGTGAGAAGTAAAATAAGATATGTGAATAGCACACCCCATAAACTTAATATATTAGTATCACATTCACTTTTATCAACTTAATGTGAAAGGCCGTAGTAGTCTCGAACTGAAGAAAATGCTATCTCGTTATTGACAACTTGGAAGAAGATGATTATAAGCTAGAGTCTTAGCATTGGAGAAAGAAAATTAGACTACAAGAATACACCATTTTTTGGGGAGAAATTCTATGGTTCGGAGTCTAGACCACCAAATCCCTACGACCTAGACTTAGAAAACCTCCATTGTGAGTACTCACAGACATAAAAATAGGCCAGGCTATAAGTTTTGTCAAACTATCGTGAACATGTCTCGCTATGACCTCTTAGTACTGATTTGGTACTGAGGTGCTTTTATAAAAAGTGGACGTAAAAAAATGCTGAGCTCAAAAAGATGTTTGGTAAACACTTAAAAACAGATTATTCTCACAGCATAACAGAAATAGTTTTTTTTCAAATCACAACAATACCAAACCAGCCCTAAAGTTTCTCGCCTAATTAGACGGAGGAGGAGCGGCTGCAGCCCTTGCTTTGGCAGCAAGAATCTTAGCAATCTCAACAAGCTTGTCAGTTTCAGGCATAACATCCTTCACAGCAGCATGAGCACAAAACTTGTCAGCCCATTTTACCAGCCCCGGCGTTTTCGTCTGGTCAAGCAGTTTGATTCCATGCAGCTTCTCGTTTACTCTGAGCCACCCCAAGAAGCACCCGAACGCAATGTCCAAGTATCCGATCTCATCTCCACCGAAAAATACGTTGCCTTTGCTGGATTTCTCAAAAGCTTCCTCCAGCAGCGCCAGCCCTTCTGTCACTTGCTCGATTGCTGCCTTCTTTGCCTCCTCTCCTTGTGCAAGACCAATGCCTTTCATGGATGGGTACCACTACAACCATTTCAATTGAATGAGACATAAGTTAGTAACATGGATTAATTGTACCAAAAGCTTAAGCTAGCAACAAAGAAAGACGTTTTGCTTGGGCTTTGAATAAATACTTGTTATGCTTCTAATAAAAGCGTTTCTATTAGTAAGTTGGACGTTTATGAGAAGTGTTTTACGCATGACCATAATAAATCATTACCTTCTCGCTGATATAGGCAGCCCAAAATCGTGCAGTAGCGCGATCGTAGGGGTCAGAAGGGAGGATAGACGGACCAGATGCCCAAACTTCGTCAATGTACTCAACAATGATGAGAGATTCACAAACTGGTTTGTCACCATGAATGAGAACTGGGACTTTCTTGTGGACTGGATTGGACTGAAGAAGAAGCTCGCTTTTAGATCCGAATGTCTCCTGAAGAAACTCGTAGTCGACGGATTTGAGGTTAAGGGCAATGCGAGCCCTCATCACGAACGGACTCGGCGCCATTCCCAGAACTTTGACGTCGCTCTCGCCCATAATTAATCCTCGACTAATTAGCTTAACACTCAACAAGTGATCTAATTCAAACACTGATGAGTTCTACAGGGTTTAGTGTATGTGCGTGTTGGGTGCATCCAAACCAGGAAACACAAGGATTAAGTAGGAAGAAGAAAATGTTTGGTATCAATGAGCCTACTGGCATTAGTTTGGTGCATTTGGTGGGTGGACGCATGTTTCAACTTTGAAGGGTAGGCAACATTCTAAGTTTTTTTTAATTAAAAAAAAAAGTCATTGAGTCAAAATCAAAAGAATGACTTACTTGTACCTAGTATACTATTGTGGCATTCTCGGCTTAATATTACGACGGATCTCTTTCATCAAGGGTATCAGATTAAGTGATCTGTGTCTTTTAAATTTCATCAAATGGTTCATTTGTTTTGATCTCTTAAAAGCTGTAATAATTTTTGGTAGCCTGTTTTGATTCCTTAAAAGCTGTAATAATTTTTTGCCGTTGGATGAAATTTGAAAGGTTCAGATCACTTGATCTGATGGCTTTCTTCTCTAATAATACGATTCCAAAATCATTAAATTAGGGTTTTGAGATTTTCCAGACCTGTGCCAAAATAAAAATTGCAAACCTTGACTTTTTTTAGTGAAGTTTTTCGATTCATTCCAAGAAATGAACCGTAGGATTGAAATGTTTTGAGCCCCTGTGCACAAGATGGAAGTAGCACAAGTGAATCACACAACGATAAATAGTTGACAACTAGCTATACAATTGTTTCTTTCAACTATATGACAACTATCTATACAATTGTTCTTTTCAACTATACCGTTGCCCATATTATAATCAGGATGAATATATATAAAAGACATCTATTGAACTAATAGATGCACGTAAATGATTTATTTCACCATCAAATAAACATAAAAACCAGACACAAAATAAAACAAAGTCCATGAGTTTACCAAACTACAGCATCGTCTAATACATCCGACTTAATAATTTACCAAACTACAGGATTGTCTAATACATCCGACTTAATTTCTTAATCACTAGTTTGAACAACAAGATCCATTGATTTGTTTCACTAATTAATCACTTGGAAGCACCTGCAGCTCTCAATCTGGCCATAATAATCTTAGCAACCTCAGCCAACTTGTCAGTCTCCGGCATAACATCCTTCACAGCAGGATCTGCACTGAACTTCTCAGCCCATTTGGCCAGCCCTGGGATCTTTGCTTCGTCCAGAAGTTTGACCCCATTCATTTTCTCTGTCACTCTGAGCCACCCCAAGAAGCACCCGAATGCAATGTCCAGGTACCCAATTTTGTCCCCACTGAAGAAGTCCTTGCCTTTGCTGGTCTTTTGAAAGGCTTCCTCCATTTGAGCCAGCCCTTCTGCAACTTGCTCGACTGCTGCCTTCCTTGCCTCGTCTCCTTCAGCGGCACCAATGCCTCTCAGCGACGGAAACCACTGCACCCATTTGAATTCATTACTTAATTAAACGAATAAATGTGCAACGACCTGTACAGTGCACTATACCAAAAGTTTTTTCACAGAAATTTGCACGTCTCAATGTTGTATATCTCATTTGTTTTTCTATTTCCCTAATCACACACGATATAACGAGAAATAAAGAAAAAGTGGTATAAAAAATAATTCATAGGACTCTCTCTCTTCGTTTCAATTTAACTAAACTATTACCACTCAGTGCCATTTCTATGTCATTTAGTACTACGGTATAGTGGTATTCCTCTTCACTTATAAATGAGAGGTTTTAAGTTCAATTTTCATCAAAGACGAGTTTGAACCACATTTTACTAGTCCATTGTAAGGCTAAGGTCATCATCTTCCCTGTAGATAATATAGTTTGTTCAAACAAACAAAAAAAAAAAAACCATTTCTACAAAAAATATTCAATAATATCTACAAAAGTGAACATATTTTAGGGGAAGCTTCCACCTAAGCCTAGGGATCAAGTTATTCGGACTCTTGAATTTTGATCAAACTGACTCCAAACATGGGGTTCTTCTAAAAGTTTTAATAATTGTAACCGTTAGATCAAATTTCAAGGGTTCGGATCATTTGATCCCTAGGCTTAGGTGGAAGAGATCCTCTCCGGATGCAGATATGCTTTCGTGTTTCTAAAAGGAGTAATTAGAAGAACCCCCACATTTTTTTCCAACTTGTTTAGATTAAACACTATTCTTTTTACAAAATTTGATTAAGAAGCTTTGATCAATTGCCAACTCAACAATTTTCTATTTATTATATATATATATGCGCGTATGTGTGTGTCTATATATCTACTTAGACTAGCTAACAACTAATTTCCTACAATCTATGAATTTTAAATTTGTATTTAAAACTTACGGTACATTTGAAAATAAACAAACCAACTTTTAGTACGTTTAGAATTTAAATGTATCAAGAAACAAAATGTACTAAAATCCAAATATTACATAAAATCAAACGTACCAATATTATAGATAATCAAACGCACCTATAATTTGACCAAAAAAAAAACGCACCTACAATATGACCAAAAAAAGCGCACCTATTATAAAATTGTAGAAAATAAATGTTCAATCAAATTCTTAAATGAAACAAATGTTTCATCAACGAAATTGAAAAACGATGCACCTATATCAAAACGTCCATTTCTAAAAACACCATTAATCATTTTATAAGCAATTCCAAACGGATGTTATTTGAGCCATATTAAGGAGAAAGACTATCAACAAACCCCTTTAAACATATTTATTAAGTAATGGAAAAACAATAGAAAAGAAACAAAGAGCAACATAATCCCTCACATTTAACTGGTTAATCCAAACAAAATTTAATAAATGAACGAAATTAGCCTGCAAAAATTAAAAATTAAGGAGACAAACAAAAACCATGCACTTACCTTCTCATCGACGTAGGCAGCCCAAAATCTTGCAGTAGCGCGATCCAACGGGTCAGAAGGGAGAATCGACGGGCCTGAGGCCCAAACCTCATCGATGTACTCCACAATTATGAGAGACTCACAGACGGGCTTATCACCATGAATGAGAACTGGGATTTTCTTGTGGACTGGATTGGACTGGAGAAGAAGCTGGCTTTTGGGTGCGAACGTCTCCTCAAGAAGCTCATACTCCACTGACTTGACATTGAGCGCAATCCGAGCCCTCATCACGTATGGGCTCGGCCACGCTCCCAAAACCTTCACGTCGCTCTTCGCCATGATCAATGATTTAGGTTCTCTATCGAACTAAAGCTCTCGAAATGCAAATGCAAAATCTGTGTTTTGGGGTTCCTGTTATTTATGAATGTGCATGAAAGGTGAAAGCAGAAGGAGGATTTATGAAGAGGTTTGGAAAGTGAATGTATTTGGTGTGAACGTAATGACAATAGGTGTGGCAGTGGGGAAAGGTTTGAAACGTAGGAAAAAAATTTAATGTCCTGTGTGCAAAATTTATTGTCCTGTGTTCCAAGTCCATAATTCGTAATGACAATAGGTGTTGGTGTGAACGTAATGACAATAGGTGTGGCACTGTGTGGATGGAAAGAGACTTGCATAGTTGCATGTACTTTTCAAGATGACGGTGAGGTGTTCTGAGTCAATAATACGATGCAAATGTGAGAATATTAGAACACATAACACTATATTATTTATTAGTGTTGTTACTGAGTATGGATAGTTGAGAGAAACTTACATAAGTTGACAATGAATTGAGCCTATGGACCTGACTTTTCAGCCCTCTCAGTTTCTATACACTTTTATCCCCTTCTATTTTGTACGATGATGGTTAAGTCACGTTAACATTTTATATTAATTTTTTTATAAGAATAATGAGGTACAAAATAATAGTGATATAAAATGTTGACGTGATTTAACTGCGACTACACAAATAGGAAGGGATGAGAGTGTATGTGAGAGGGCAGAGAAGCCAGGTCCTTGAGCCTATTACTTGCTGTCACGTACTTTAACTTACCCGCTTGACATGTCATGATCTGTTTGCGATACCGTCTTTGAATGGGTGTTTAGGTTCAGCGTTTTCAACTTGAACCTACTTTTGGTTCGTCTTGTGTGTTCGGACTTCAGATAGGGAATACGATGTTGTTGGTGTGTCGTGTGGCGGAGATTGGAGCACGTAAGAGGAAATTTGAAGTGTGTAGGCTTTGGAACTGCGTGGCTTACTCGGCATTCAGTCATTTCTGCTGCGAGTGGACTTTCTTGTTCGTACATGTGAACAAATTTGAAGTCTGTAGGCTTTGGAGACAGGAGGACCGAGCTGAGAGCTGTGAAGGTGAGTGACAGTTGTATACGAAGATGCTACTTCTGGAAAAGTAAAGCAGAAGCACCAGTGGTCAAGTGGTAGAATAGTACCCGCCACGGTGACCCGGGCTAGTTATTGAATAAACTGAGTTGTATAGAACTTTAACGAAAAATGAAAGTCTCTCGTACTGTTCATTTTAACGAAAAATCATATTTTTACATTAAAAATTCAATTATAGTACTATTTACTTTACCTTTTATTTTATCCTTATCGTTAAAACTCAAAGTTTTTAAGCTATTTTTCTTAGTTTTCCTTAGTTATTACTCCTTGCGTAATATTTCAGAATTCAGACGCATATAGAAAATGGAATTCGAAATTCCAGCATCTCTTCAAAGTTTCTTCTTTTGGACTGACAATGGAAGCATACAAGTAACAGAAATCTTTGCAAAAACAGTCACGTTACAAGTCTATCGGGGTTCAAAGCAATGGCATGGCTCGTTGATACCAGAAACTCCTTCGGGGGCAGCCCGACATTTGCAAATTCTTCCGACTTCCGAGTCTTTCATTCTCACTCGGTCTCTTGGGTCTTAAGTTGGCCCTTGAAGCGGTTGTATTTACGATTTGCCCATGGTAACGCCGTATCAGCCTTACCTTTTGCTTTGCTCATTTTCCGGAATGCGAGCACTTTTGCATCGTCTCTGCTTTTACACCCTCCGACTCTACCAAGACTGCTGAAATGCAAGCACTTTTGCATCTTCTCTGCTTTTACACCCTCCGCTTTTACACCCTCCGACTCTACCAAGACTGCTGAAATGCAAGCACTTTTGCATCTTCTCTGCTTTTACACCCTCCGACTCTACCAAGACTGCTGCACCCAGTCAAAGTAGTTAACATCAGAAGAATGCTGACATAACACTTCTAAGCTGCATCTAACGGTTTCATGCCAAATCATGAAAGAAGAAAAATTCACACATACCAGGAGGGGTGTGTTTAGACAACATTTGGGCCGTGATGAAATCCAACAGATGAACTTTTGAGTGAAATAGCCATCTTGAGATTGCTTGGATTTGTTTACGGGACATCTTATTCCTTAGGGCCCGGCTTCGTCTATCTTGGATTTCATATCAAATGTTCGATAGCCAGGTACATACGTAGGTCCCTGGGTAACAAAGAGTTGTAGCTCACAACGTGCACAGATAGATTCATCTTGTAAAAGGTAAATGTCTAGAAATGATGCCATTAAGAACTTACTAACATTTCAACATTATCATTTCAAAAAGGCTGTGCAATATCCTTGGATCATACTAATGAGAAAATTCTTTTGTACGAAGTAAGGGATCTGGAGATGATCCATTTCCAATTTACCAAACTACAACATTGTCTAATACATCCGACTTAATTTCTTAATCACTAGTTTAAACAACAAGATCCATTGATATGTTTCACTAATTAATCACTTGGAAGCACCTGCAGCTCTCAATCTGGCCTTAAGAATCTTAGTAACCTCAGCCAACTTGTCAGTCTCCGGCATAACATCCTTCACAGCAGGATCTGCACTGAACTTCTCAGCCCATTTGGCCAGCCCTGGGATCTTTGCTTCGTCCAGAAGTTTGACCCCATTCATTTTCTCTGTCACTCTGAGCCACCCCAAGAAGCACCCGAATGCAATGTCCAGGTACCCAATTTTGTCCCCACTGAAGAAGTCCTTGCCTTTGCTGGTCTTTTGAAAGGCTTCCTCCATTTGAGCCAGCCCTTCTGCAACTTGCTCGACTGCTGCCTTCTTTGCCTCGTCTCCTTCAGCGGCAGCAACGCCTCTCAGCGATGGAAGCCACTGCACCCATTTGAATTCATTACTTAATTAGAATAAGAGTGCGTTTGTTGCACCAGACTATTTCAGACTGGATTAGCTTCAGGAACTAAGCTGAACTAGGGTTGGGTTCGGTTTAAATCGGTTCGGTTTTTTGCCAAAACCGAAACCAAACCGAAATTTCGGTTCGGTTCGGTTCATTTTTTTTTCGGTTCGGTTTTTTTTCGGTTCGGTTTTTTTCAAAAAATGAAAAACATTGAAATTTTAAATTTTAACATATCCAACACAATCATAACATAAGCATTTTAACTAGAATCAAAGACAATGAAAATAAACATTTAAAGTTGAACTAAAATCATCAATCAAGTCTTCCAAAGTCCAAACTAACAACCTCACAACACAAAAATCGTACAAATGACATAGAAAAGTTAAATTGTATGATGTTGTTCAAAGATCAGGGTTGTTTGCTTGTAACTGCATGTTGACAACTTGATTAGTAAAAGTAATGCGTGGGTGGATTTATTTAGTGTGTGTTAGATTCTTTTCCATCACAAATTACCCAAGTAATCTACCCGAAAGAAATGTTTATGGATTCTGTTACATGTTATATGAGAGTAGATTTGGAAAAGAAAGCTGGGACAGAAGTAGACAATGCTATGGAGATAGATGTAGGTACTTCAGAAAGAGGTCTGGTTCCGGAACCTTATATGGGGGATAAATAATAGGTTAGGGTTTAGAGTTTTTATAGGCCTTTTTTTAATATTTTGAGCTTAAAGTTTGGCAACACATTGGGTTTAGAAAATAATACCGAAAACAAATAATTAAATAAGAAAATTAATTTAATTAATTCGGTTTGGTTCGGTTTCTAGATCACTAAAACCGAACCAAACCAAAAGAATTCGGTTTGGTTCGGTTCGATTTTCTGTTTTTTGAACCCACCCTAAGCTGAACTAGCTTAGATTAGATTAAGCTAGACTAATTTAGTGAAGTGTTTGGTGCAAGGTCGGGCTAAAAAGCTGGACAATAACAAATATATTTTTAATTCATATTTTATTAATATTTTATATTATTTAATACATATTTAGTAATATTTTATTACTACCACTATCTTTTTTTTTCCAGAAACCGTCCATCCCCATTCCTAATTCTTTTCCACTAATCTCCCCATTTCTTTCCAAGTTTGCTCCGTCCCTTTCCCTATGTTTCTTCCTCTTTCTTCTTCGCCCCTCTCTCTCTCTTCATCTCCATCTTTTTCTTCCTATTTCTCTCTGCTCATCTCCCTCTTTTCTTCCTAATTTTTCTGGGACCTAATTGGCAAATTAAAACCCATTCAAAGTCTGGGTCATTTGGGTATTCATGGGTCTGCTTCTCCAGCGTCAATAGCAAAGGTCTGCGATCAGGGAGTCTGGACTAGGTGGAGTGTGAGCAGAGTTGCTGAGCGTTTCAGACGCACAACGATTTTGTATTTTTTTTTCGCTTTTTTGTTCTAAATTTTGGATTTGGATCTAGTTTTGAAAATGAAAATATTGCATAAATTTTTGCCTTTTGTTTCCAATTTTGTGGGATATGGGTTTGAAAATGGTGGATGATAGGGGCGAAGCAGAGCAGAGTTTGTATATATGACCTGGGTTCCACATCTTGCGAGTAACAAGTTGATGGGAGGGCGAAGCGAGGAGGAACGAAGCAGGAGGAGTTGGGCTTAGCAGTCATGCCGATTTCGAGGGGTCTCGCTAAGACCCCCTAGCGAACTACTTAGTCCCGTTTAGTCGGGGTGAGTGTCATTAAAACTTGTCTTCATTTGTATCAAACACTGGACTAGACTCCCACTTAGTCCAGTCCAGTCTAATAAATGCTAGTGAGTGCAAACAAACACACCATAAATGTGCAACTACGTGTACAGTGCTTTTCGACAAAAATTTGCACGTCTCATGTTGTATATCTCATTGGTTTTTCTATTTCCCTAATCACACACACGATGTAATGAGAAATAAAGAAAAAGTGGTATAAAAATTAATTCATAGGACTCTCTCTCTCTTTGTTTCATTTTAACTAAACTATTACCACTCAATACCATTTCTACGTCATTTAGTACTATGGTGTAGTGGTGTTCCTCTTCACTTGTAACTTATAAGTGAGAGGTCTTAGGTTCGATTCTCGCTAAAGACGAGTTTGAACTATATTATTGCTAGCACATTGTGAGACTAAGCTCACCCCCTCCCCCTTGGTGTAGATATTATAGTTTGTTAAAAAAAAAAAAAAACCATTTCTACAAAAAAAAAAATATTCAACAATATCTACAAAAGTGAACATATTTTAGGGCTTGTTTGGAAAATTCTTTTGTACGAAGAAGTATGCATATATGCTTTTGTGTTTCTAAAAGGAGTAATTAGAAACCCCACATTTTTTTCCAACTTAATTAATTATTTTTACAAAATTTGATTAAGAAGCTTTGATCAATTGCCAACGCAACAATTTTCTATTTATTTAATATACTAGCATTTGCCTGCATACTTTATTTATATGAATAAGGAGGGAGGGAGGGAGAGAGAGAGAGAACATGGGAGGAATGGGAGGTTTTTGTTTTTGGTTTTTATTTTTTTTTAAATTTTAAATTAGAGATATTTTAACATCATCTGTAGTGAGGTTTCAATAAAAACAGTAAAATTTGGACATCTGAAATTACATTATTGCCCATCTTTTTTTTTGTGTAATAGAAAACTGAGTTGTCTTTTCACCCATTTTTAGTTGACAAAGAGGGTTTCGTTAATTAATAGAGATACATGTGTATATATATCTACTTAAACTAGCTAACAACTAATTTCCTACAATCTATGAATTTTAAATTCGTATTTAAACTTACGGTACATTTGAAAATAAACAAACCAACTTTTAGTACATTTAGAATTTAAAAGTACAAAAATGTACTAGAAATTCAAATGTTACATAAAATCAAATGTACCAATATTATAGATAATCAAACGCACCTATAATTTGACCCAAAAAAAAAACACACCTACAATTTGACCAAAAAAAAGGCGCACCTACAATTTGACCAAAAAAAAAGCGCACCTACAATTTGACCAAAAAAATCACACCTATTATAAAATTATAGAAAATAAATGTTCAATCAAATTCTTAAAATAAACAAATGTTTAATCAACGAAATTGAAAAACAATGCACTTATATCAAAATGCCCCTTTCTAAAAACACTATTAATCATTCTATAAGTAATTCGAAACAGATGTTATTTGAGTCATATTAAAGAGAAAGACGATCAACAAATCCCTTTAAACATATTTTATTAAGTAATGGAAAAACAATAGAAAAAAAAAACAAAGAGCAACATAATCCCTCACATTTAACTGGTTAATCCAAACAAAATTTAATAAATGAACGAAATTAGCCTGCAAAAATTAAAAATTAAGGAGACGAACAAAAACCATGCACTTACCTTCTCATCGACGTAGGCAGCCCAAAATCTTGCAGTAGCGCGATCCAACGGGTCAGAAGGGAGAATCGACGGGCCTGAGGCCCAAACCTCATCGATGTACTCCACAATGATGAGAGACTCACAGACGGACTTATCACAATGAATGAGAACTGGGATTTTCTTGTGGACTGGATTGGACTGGAGAAGAAGCTGGCTTTTGGCTTCGAACGTCTCCTCAAGAAGCTCATACTCCACTGACTTGATATTGAGCGCGATCCAAGCCCTCATCGCGTATGGGCTCGGCCACGCTCCCAAAACCTTCACGTCGCTCTTCGCCATGATCAATGATTCAGATTCTCTATCGAACTCGGAAAGCTCTCAAAATGCAAATGCAAAATCTGTGTTTTGGGGTTCCTGTTATTTATGAATGTGCATGAAAGGTGAAAGCAGAAGGAGGATTTATGAAGAGGTTTCGAAAGTGAATGTGTTTGGTGTTTACGTAATGACAAAAGGTGTTGGTGTGAACGTAATGACAATAGGTGTGGCACTGTGTGGGTGGAAAGAGACTTGGATGGACTTTTCAAGACGATGATAGAGGTGTTCCGAGTCAATAATACGATGTAATGTGAGAACGTTAAAACACATAACACTGGATTATTTATTAGCGATGTTATCGAGTATGGATAGCTGGGAGAAACTTAACATAAGTTGACAATGAATTGAACCTATTACTTGCTGTCAGTGTCACGTACTTTAACTTAACCGCCTGACATGTCGTGATCTGTTTGCGATGCCGTCTTTGAAGGGGTGTTCAGGTTCAGTGTTTTCAACTTGAACCTACTTTTGGTTTGTCTTGTTTGTTCAGACAGGGAATAGGACGTTGTTGGTTTGTCTTGTTTGTTAAGTTGGCCCTTGAAGCGGTTGTATTTGCGATTTGCCCCTGGTAATGCCGTATCAGCTTAACCTTTTTCTTTGCTCATTTTCCGGAATGCAAGCACTTTTGCATCTTCTCTGCTTTTACACCCTCCGACTCTACCAAGACTGCTGAAATGCAAGCACTTTTGCATCTTCTCTGCTTTTATACCCTCCGACTCTACCAAGACTGCTGAAATGCAAGCACTTTTGCATCTTCTCTGCTTTTACACCCTCCGACTCTACCAAGACTGCTGCACCCAGTCAAAGTAGTTAAGATCAGAAGAATGCTGACATAACACTTCTAAGCTGCATCCAACGGTTTCATGCCAAATCATGAAAGAAGAAAAATTCACACATACCAGGAGGGGTGTGTTTACACAACATTTGGGCAGTGATGAAAGCCAACGGAAGAACTTTTGAGTGAAATAGCCATCTTGAGATTGCTTGGATCTGTTTACGGGACATCTTATTCCTTAGGGCCCGGCTTCGTCTATCTTTGATTTCATATCAAATGTTCGATAGCCAGGTACATACGTAGGTCCCTGGTTAACAAAGAGTTGTAGCTCACAACGTGCACAGATGGATTCATCTTGTAAAAGGAAAATGTCTAGAAATGATGCCATTATGAACTTACTAACATTTCAACATTATCATTTCAGAAAGGCTGTGCAATATCCTTGGATCATACTAATGAGAAAAATTACCGTGATGATAATATCCCAGATGCGAGTCCGCAGGAACTAAAACTGATAATTTCTCTCCAGGAGAGCAGTTCAGCTAGTTTCTTCATTCTTGGGCTTGCCAACAAGACAATTCTCTATAATTTCGTCGCAAAGATCAAGAGTAATGTCCATGTTCCCTTCTCCATAGTTCATATCGACAAAAATGTTGTATGTTTCTCTATCTGCAACCACACCATGTCTCCTCATTTCTTCAAATAGTTCCCTTGCCTCTGCAAATTTCCTTCTCTTGAAAAAACCCTTAATAAGTGCACCGTAACAACTTGCCGTGGGAATAAATCCCTTTCCTGCCATTTCTTTATGCAAAAACCATGCCTCTTTCATATTCCTTACCTTAGAATGCCCTTTTATCAAAATGTTATAGGTGTTGCTATCAGGAATCACCCCACCAGCACACATGCTCCTATATATTTCCGCCGTAGTACGCATATTATTTCTAATGCAGTACTGCTTCATGAGAGAATTGTAGGTTGCCGCATTAGGCACTATACCCTTCTCCAACATCCACTTAAGTAGCCTCTCAGCGTCTTCCACCATTCCTGACATACCAAATCCATTCATAAGCACATTGAATGTAACAACTGTAGGTTGAAGCCCTCTATCGAGCATCTCAAGCAGGACCTTCTGAGCCTTAGCCATATCCCTCATCTTACAATATGCATCCATCAGAGTGGTATAAGTAATAGCGTCAGGACAGGGCCCTGCACCCTCCATTTGTTCCACCAATTTTTCTGCCTCCGCTATGTTTCCCGACTTACAAAGGCTGTTAACAATTGAGTTGTAAGTGCAGACATTAAGTTGAAGGCCCTTCTTGCACACCTCATGAAGAAGTTCATTTGCTACATCTACCTCCCCTCTTTTACAAAGGCCATCAGCCAATGCCGTATAAGTGACAACATTTGGGGTAAGTCCCATATTAACCATCTGGTTGTGAAGAGAAAACGCCTCTTTCATCTCGCCTGTTTTGCAATAACCATCAATAAGTGCTGTATAAGTAACTTCATCTGGTTCTAATCCTCTGCTAACCATTTCATGGAAGAGCTTATCTGCTTCTGTCATCTTCCCTATTTGACAAAATCCATGAATAATAGCAGTATATGTAATATAATCAGGGATTATTTTCCTATCCCGCATTTCGTCAAATAGCCTATATGCAGCAGGAACATTACCCAACTTACAGAATCCATCAATTAGAGTAGTGTAGACGACATTATCAGGAAGTACTCCCAGAACCATCATCTCCCTCAGTAACCCTTCTGCTTCAGATAGTTTACCCGTTTTACACAGAAAGAGTATTATGCTGTTATACGTATAGGAATTTTGCTTCAATCCTTTTATTTTCATTTCCTCTATGAGCTTCAAAACCTTCTGCAGTTCTCCAACATAACAATATCTGCTGATTAAAGTACTATAACTTACAACATCAGGTACACAACCCCTCAACTCCATTTGCAGGAGTAAATGGTGGGCCTCTTTTATTTTCCCTAATCGACAAAGACAATGAATGATAATATTGTATGATGTGGTGTTCCAATGAATACCCACTTCAGGGTATTCATTGAAGAATTTTATTGCCATCTCAATCCCATCAAAGGTGCTTGATAGCCGAGTAAGAAATAAATTACAGGAATCAACAGAGATAACCAACCCATAGCTCAACAATTTATCAAAAAGCTTTCTTGCTTCATTGAGCATCTCAGTTTCAACAAGGACCCGGAAGAAAACATCAAACACATGGGGATCTGAACCCCAATCCTTGTAAGTGTATATCAACCGAGCAGAAAAGTGAGCAAATGAAAGACCAACATCTAACTTGGGTTTTGCCCAAAAATTATGAATGAGCTCATGCGCTGTTTCAAGATCCTTTGATGCTGCAGCAATTTGTACAACGACACAACGGGCTTCTAATGATGGGTCCCTTCGTAAGCATGCCCAGTCAAAGAAATCCAGAACTAGTTTATAGTCATTCTTAATATTCATGAGAACCCAAATAAGATGGTCAGACCTGAAATTAGATTCGTAAGGCTTCAGAATACTGCGAAAAGGCTCAGAGCAGCGAAGCTTAATTGTGGTGGAGATGAGATGTACAAGTTCGGCATCTTTGATGGTAGGTTTCTTGGGGGAATAGTCAGGAAAAGGCCTTGTATGTGTTGATCCCAAGGAAATTCCATGACTTAAACATCTCCTAAAAACGAATAGAGAAGAATTTAAACCAAGATTTAAGCAGGGCCGATGATAGGAGATCTGAAAACAATAGACTGACAAGATGGCGCGCCTCTTCATGTCTATCAGAGGAACCCATCAAGAAAAAATTTGGGGACCCTTTTCTATTAATGCAGCAGCTTTCCTCCATTTAGAAGAACCAAAGCAACGAGGTTGCTTCATCACATCACCTGTAAAGTAACCATTAAACACAAACACTCAACGTATAAAAACTTTGTAAAATATACTGCCTATACACCAAAGCATACATTTCATAATCAACTTTCTTCCAATCCTCTATATATACTGCTGAAATATGAATATACAGCGGTACGAAAGTAGAACACTTGCATGGCAAACGCTTGCAATTTTGTATTTGAACAATGAACAAATTCTGTTTGCAAAACCAATAAAACCATTCAAGTTGCTACTATTTACATTGATTCTGAAACCAATAAAACGTTCAAAAATTAATCACACTCGCACCCACAATCTGTCACTAACTAAAACAAATTAAAGGTGGTTCACGCATTCTATCAAACACTTGGTGAGCAATCAATAAAAAGTACTTAAAACCGAAAAGTAAAATGCAACAAGGTGACAAAGAGTGACAAGCTTTCGAAGCTGGGAAACATGAGAGGTGTTACCTTAAAGGTGATTGACTCCGAGAAGCTCGAAAGCTTCGAACTTCCAAAAACTTGTTTCAGGAGGATGGCTGTTGCCGGTGGGTATCTCGAGTTTCATTCGGCCTCCACTCTCCTCCTCCGGTAGAACAGCACAGGTGTTTTAGTGAGAGAGACAATGTTGGATAAAGATATTTTATTGGGCCTATATGTTTGGGTTAACTAAATGGCACCAATGAAGCTGGTAATTACCAAAAGACTTGAGCCGGGCCCAAAGTTTAGAAATCCTTTACATAAGAGTTGAGGGCTGTCATTTGAAAATTTGAGATGCCTTCTAAAGTTATCATTCAACTGCTTGACGAATTATTTCTATGGGTGCTGAGTAGGGTATCTGCTAGCCTTATTCCCTTGAACTATGTGTTGCTATAGGCATTTTTTGATAAGCTCACTCGGCATATGTTGGTATCTGTCGACATGCTTACTTGAAAGTTATTGGCATATGTCGATGGGCGTGCAATATAACTTTGCAAATGATTTTAGGCCTACCAAGGCTTGATGAAATGCCAATTTGCTCTAATTGTATACGGGAGGTCTCGAGTTTGGCTAACTTGAATGGCAAGTTTGATACCTAAATATTGTGGCAAAGTCATTGAATTAACTTTGATTCTGGCCCTTTTACTCTTAGGGTAGAATATCACCGTACCAAAAATAAAAACACGTAGACAAATAACATCGTATGATAAACTCATAAGATCGTTGCTATAACGTTCTAATTGCATGTAAGTTATCTCCACGATGAGTTCACCATCTCACATGGAAGGTCCCACATGTTAGATGCCTTCAGTTTTATCTAGCAAACAAAGGTCTGGCTATGTCTCAAGCCAAAGCGTTGGAAAGAATTGTTCTTCACCGTCTAAGTTGACTTCAGTTATAATCAGGTCCTTTAATATTCTCAAATATTTATTTAAAAATCAAGTTTGTGCTGGATCTGATAATAGTCAGTAACAAAATGATAAATAAATATGGGAAAAAATTTTGGCACCAAAAAAAAAAAAAAAACTCCTTAATTGAAGCAATGCTTGGTGGAATATGCACATGAATTGTTGAGGGGGATTATAATTAATGAATGATTACAAGTTTAATGTGAAATTTCTTTTTAATTAGTTACAACACCTTAACAATTTTGTTTATTTATTTATTTCTAAGTGATATTTTATACTAATTTATATTTTTTTAAAAGAAAAGAAAAATATGAATCCAAAATACAGTGAGTTGCGGTAGAAAGTTGTATCCATTAGGGTAACTCACCACTCGTCCTTAACAATTTGAATTTGGATATCCTACCATCAGAACTATGCCCCAGTTACATATATTATTGGAAATTAATTAAGATTAAAATTCGCTACCAACAAATAATGTCGATGATGATGATTAAATAATTGGAAAGTTCAATAAATGAAGGAGAGATCATCATTACTTCATTTTCAATCCCCATTTTTTCATTCCAGAACATATGCTTTTGATCTCTTTTCCTGATTTGGGACTGAAAGTGGTGGTGGTAGGAATATATACTCATTGCTCCAATCAAAAAGCCGAGTTTGTGAATGGAAATTCAAAAAATATATAGAAAGCTGGGGCTTCGCTTGTTTTGAGGACGAAAGGGTATGGTAGGTGGGTAGCCGTATTGGGATCTCAAACACACAAAAATCCATATTCTGTTTCGGAATGCTTTCGAAAGAGTTAAAAGTGATTTCAGGTGCTTAATGCGGTGTTTGACATAAAAACAAAAAATATTTTTGAATTTTAAAAACTGTTTTTGGTGTTTTTAATAAAGTGCTTTCAGCATAAGTGATTCATACAGAGAAGCAAGTGGATAGTTATTAACTTATAAGCAAGTCGACCAAGGAAATGCACGTGGACTGTTTAGATCAAATGGTTATTAGCTTATTACTTCATGTCTTGATTAATTAAAACTTATTGTTCGAGATCTCTTGTGGAGTCTCTTAAATAATGGACGTGACATGATCTCTAGACTCTAGATACGAATTATATATATTTTTATGTACGTGGTATCAGATGCATGCATGGATAAATAGTGAAAAATGTGCAACCCCTTCAGCAGGCAAAAAGATATAAACTTGTATTCTTATATATAACCAAAAGGATGATTCGAGGAGTGTAAAACTTGCTTGGTAATATATGTTGGGAATTGAAACTAAACAAAATCCCAAGAGATTTAGTACTTGTTTGGTACTAAGGTGCTTTTATAAAAAGTGTATAAAAAAAAAGCTGTGCTCAAAAAGATATTTGGTAAACACTTAAAAACAGCTTATTTTCACAGTTTTGGGTGAAAAAAAACTGAAAACGTGAAGTAGCAAAAATGAACTTATTTTTACAGCACAGCAGAAACAGTTTTTTTTTCAAAACACATCAATACCAAATCAGCCCTTATAAAAAAACAGATAATCAATTCAATGCTAGGCAGGGGGAACAAAATCAGTTCAATGCTAGGCAGAGGGAACAAAATCAGTTCAATGCTAGGCAGAGGGAACAAAGGCATCTGCTAATAGGGAAAGAGAATCATAGAAGATCAAAAGCTAGCCAATATTCTAGTTTAAGTGGTTATGAGCATTTATTTTTGTATTTGAGGTATTAAGTTCGATTATGTACTTCCTCTACTTCGCTGGAATAAAGAAAACAAAACAAAAACAAAACAAATAAGCTACTGCCAGCCAAAAATCGAAAGCGTTGATAACATCTCAAACTACATGCTCCTTACTCTCAGCAAAATATTAATATTTGTATCATCACATCTGATCGTCTAGCATACTATTTTGTTGAATATATCTTACGCTAATTAGATGTCAGTTAAGATGATACAAGTAGTTTTATTTATCGAAAAACCCCCGCCCCAAAAGTGTAAACTCTCTAAGCTTTCTTCTTCCACTTCATAATATATATACACACACCAAGGCCTCACTTCACACACTTCACACCTTATCATTTTCTCCCCTCCAAACTCACAACAATATGAAGTTTAGCTCTCCTTCAACACCAACTCTCTCCATCATCTTCCTCTCCACCTTCCTCCTCCAACTCACCTTCATCTCCTCCCAAATCTGCCAAAGATCCTGTGGCAAACTCCCCCTCAGGTTCCCATTCGGCAGCGACCCCGGCTGCGGCGACCTGCGCTTCAACCCCCACGTGTCATGCAGCCAGGGAAGCCCCATCTTCACAACCCACACCGGATCCTACCCCATCACCAACATAGACTACACAAACAAAGTTATGTACATCTCAGACCTCTCCATGTCAACATGTTCATGCAACCAACAATCCAAAGGTTTTTCCCTAGACTGGGACGCACCCTTCAGTTTCCAAGACGACAACGTTTTTGCCCTACTCGACTGCTCGCTTTCCAACTCTCCAGTCTTCCAGCAAAACTCCCTATACAGAGACCAAAAAAACAACTCTAAAGTGTCCCTATGTGACAACCAAGGTGCCCCGATTTGCAGCTTCTTGTACTCGTGCCAGGCGATCAGCACGATCAACCTCCCGATATCCACGTGTTGCGTTTACACGCCGGTGGATCTCGGGCCGGCTTTCGAGATGGATTTGGAGAAGCTGCAGTGCAGTTCTTACTCAGGGTTTTACAGCTTCAACGAACATGAGTCTGACCCAAATGGTTGGAACTACGGGATTGCCCTCAAATACAAGTTCAGTCTGAACAACGAGTATCCGGACTCGTGTGTTAATTGTGAGAGGAGTAATGGGGTTTGTGGGTATTATGGTAATTACAACTCGTTTATATGTAATTGTCCGAATGGGATCAACACTACCAATGATTGCTTCTTTGGAGCTTCTTATAACTATGGTTCAAGGCTTCGATCGTCGCAGATTGGTACGTATTCAATCTCTCCCTTTCCCTTTATGTGGTTTTGTGTTTCATTTTTTTATTCAAACTCGGAGGAAAGAACGGGAAGTCCACTACCGTAGTCAACTTAGCTACGTTAAGTCTATGTTTAATTTTTTTATTTATCTTTATTTTGCAGGGACTTGGTTAATCTATTGCTTGGCTGGCTATTGCCTTTGATATTGTAGCTTGTGAAATTTCATAGATGAATTTTAGAGTTCTAATCAAATGCAAGTTGAGGTTTGACCTTTCTATGAATCATATGAAGTATGTTGAGATTCAACTTTTTTTGTTATAAAATGTTGAGGTTTCTCGTAGTGTTCGTAGCAGTACTGGGTTAAGTCAGTTAGTTTAGGCAGTGTGCCACTAGGCCTGTCCTCTTGCCCCGATATCATACAAAAAATAAAATAAAGAACTCAAAAACCCAAAGGAATTGGCATATAGAGAAAGAAGGGTAGGGAATTTGGTTCCTCCTTTTTGTAGCACCATCACCACTAAGAAAGAATAAACTTTCATTACAGAGGCTCTTTCTGTAGCAACACTTTACAGATAAGCTCCAGAATGCAATCCACTGTTCCATCACCATATCTGGTTAGCCAGATTCTAAAGAACAGAACAGTAACTTTCTCCATCTAGCTTCTTTACAATTGTAAAGACGGTAAATGAGGGACCGAGAAAGTAAAACAGGTGCGAAAATTTGGACAGAGTTAACCCCCACCGGATATTTACAGCGGGATACTGTGACTGCAAAACTTGTTTCTCTGTATTCTTCTTTTCACATTCTCTACACTGTAAGCAAAAAAATGTTTGATCAATGCATATTCCTGGTCATCGCATATTGCAGCACTGGGGTTTCCCTTGTTGTTGCAATTTGTCCCACATGCATATCATTTGTCTCGGAGATTGGTAATGCGCGGTGTAATAGTCGTTGATGCACCCAAACTGGCAGAACTTCCCGCTATGCACATACTCCACTGGTTTGGATTTGTTGAACTGCTCTACCCACATTCCCATGCTCACATCTTCCATCTTGAACAACTGCACAACACATATGAATTTAACGATATGGAGACCTGCACGCGCACTAACAAGGAAAAAACAGTATTTTCATCACATACTCGCAACTTGTGCTTTTCAAACTCGGATACGACGGACTTTGCTATGTCAGAGGAGATTATGTATCCTGGACCATTTGCATAGGGTGGATAATCTTCTTCTGGCCATTCCTGGAGCTCAGCAAGGAAGAAAATGAAGGATGAGAGATTGTTCATGACACAACCCATATATCAATTCTATATGAATGTGAGCTAAAAAGTGACAACGTTAAATGACATATTGACTGTCAGAAGCTAAATAGCAAATACTATCTAATTCTAATCACCAGTCACAGTCGCATACGTCATCATATGCAATGAGGCAAATGACAATGAGGTAGAATAAGAAAACCAAACGATATATTCACGATAAAAGCTAGAGTTTGGTACGAATACTAAGGCTGTCAAATTTCTAAATAGTGGTTCCTCTATCTCCTTTTTTAAGTAAAAATTTGTTCATCTCTTGATTGCTACAAAGTACAAACACATGATCTCTAAACACCTTGAAGGAAAAAATATTACTCTAATCCAAAGCATCAACACTCAACTAAGAGGCGTCACAAACAGAATTTACCAGAAAACATGAGGCAAAAGATCAAAGCTAAGCATTAGAAGAAAAACTAGTAAAAATCACAAGTTGTATGCATTGCCCTTAAAATCAGATAAGAGAATGTTAATCCCAAGCAATACATTTAAAGGACGTATACAACTTGAGAAGATCAGAATTACTCAATGATTTAGAGAAGACCAGAAAGGACTTATAGACAGTAGAAGATGTATATAAATCTCAAGTTTGTGTACATTGTCTTTTAGAATCATTGGGGAAGGGCAGAATAATGCATACCTCATACGTCACTGCCCATTTACCATGGCGAAGAGGCTTGTGGTGGTAGTTCATATTTCCAATATAGAAGCTTCTATATCCACGAACTTCCGTGCTTCCTTGAGCACAGCATCCACCCTGATAAATGTGTCATCATCGCACTTCATGATATACCTTGCAGGCACCGTGCGAACCTGTAAACAACCACAAACGTCGATGTTAAGTATTATCCACAAGTAAAAAATAAGTATAAGACAATTGAAGTCTTGTTATGAAGCTTACCCCATATTCGCAGATTGCAACAGTCTTCAATACTACCAGATCATAGTTATCCATATAAGGAACTATAACAATGTCCCCAAAATAATCTACTTCTTTCATTAGCTCCATATTCACTTCCTTTCTTCCGTGCTGTCAAAATATAATTCCGAATACTGTAAATATTTGACATAGAATAGAAATAATGCACGATTGGTTTATCAAAGCACAAAACACAAATTCTACATTCCTTACCAATGCTACAAAAAAACGAGCCACAACACGCGAAGATTTGATTAATTTATGCTGCATCCAAGACTTTCTCACAGCCATACGCTCTGCAAAATGGTTCCCAGCAGAAAGAATGCCAATGAACAACTCTACATGCCCATAGGGAAGAAACGGAGCTTTCCACTTAGTAACCATTTCAAGGTGCATCTGGGGTGAAAAACTAGGATGTGATGTGGGTAAGGAGGCTGCAAGCACAGAGTGCATCAATGTCTCCATTTACAGAGAGTCCGGTAGCATCCTCAAGAACAAATCCCTGTCACCCACAAATAAAATTTTATGATATTCCGCATTCCTTACAGTGTAGGCCAATATCACAACACAAGGGTACTCACCGTGCGATAAGGGAAAGCAGTGATATGCCTCCCATCGACATTGATATGGAAACCTTCCAAACCAGCACTTACGGTAAGAACAAACAGCTTTCCCTCTGCAAAAGGGTATGGCCAGTCTATGGTCACCTTCTTCGTTCGTCCAATCAGCCTGTTCAACCACCATGTGGCCTTTGATTCTTCCGTCTTATTGTCATCATCACGAATCCACTTCTCACATTTCACCTGTCCATCAACTTCACAAAACAAAAGAAACAGACTGTGGCATCAGAACATTGATTAATCGAATCACAACCGCTTTATTTAGATTAGTTAGACACATCTAATATAACATACTATTTACCTACCAAACTAGCATTTAGTTAAATGCAGCACAAAGACCCCTATTTCTCAATTCATTAAGCAACGCAATTAGAACACAATGAAGCCACCTACCAGTATCTTCATCAGCCAGGGACCCCCACCCCTCGCAGCGGAGCGCCGAGCCCCATTGCATCCGGTAACAAGTGTTCTGCTCGATCACCGGCTTCCCACTCCAATCCCCCTTCAACCTCGGATTGAAATGCAGTATCCTCGGCGGGTCCTCCCCCTCCACATTCTTCAAACCCTGCAACTCCATCATAAACTGCGAGACCATCACCGCCTCGTCTCCCTCCTTCAGCACCGCAATCTTCGGATCGTACTCCGAGTGGGCCCACCTCGGCGTGCCCACCACCGTTATGTGAGACCCCAGAGTCATCCCACAGGGGAGAACCATGACCCGTTTCCGGGACTCGAATTCCGACCCGGACAGCAAAAACGAGTACGGGCACGGCTCAGAGCGGTTCTCGGGCTTGGTCTTCAGTTCAGACTCGAGCTTTCTGGCCTCGAGCTCCGCCCAGAGCTTCTTCCCAGCTGCCCAAGCGCTCTTGGCGGTTCTATGAAGCTCGGAGACTTGGTCCTTACTGACATTGCCGCCGAACAGAGTGTCCTCGAACACCAAGCCGGAAACTTTCTTGACCCCCCGCATTTGCAGCTGGGGGGTCCGGTACGGCGAGCCGCCGGCGACCCGAAACGCGTCCTCCGCCGGCCTACTCGGGACGTCCCTCTCGCCCATTTCCTCCTCGCTCTCGAGCCAAAACGTTCTGGGAAATGCGTCCTCCAGCGTCTCGAACAGCCCGTCGTCCAAACCCGAAGACTCAAACCCGGATTTCAAAACGTGGGGGATTTCGAAGCTGATCAGGAGCAGGTAGACGATCACTCCCCCAATAAAAACCTGAATCATTCTGAGTCGACTCGGCGGCAGCAACGAGTCGAACTTGCCTCGCTTCATCTGGGTACTTTATTCCCGCAATGCCCCTCAAAATTTCTGCTTGTTTCGGACAATGGGCATAGAACGATCACTGAATCAGTGGGTTTGCTCTGCTGCCCCTGCTTCCTGCAAACCCTAGATTCGAAGAAATTGGGGAAAATCAAGGGTTAATTCGCACTCACAGTGACAGAGTGAAAGCTTGAATTTATTTTCGTAAATATGCAGATGTAGATTTTTAAATAATATTTTTCAGAGAGAGAGCTTGAATTTTTCAGACATTTGTCTTTGGCAAATTTGACGCCTTTCAATTTCCATGCCGTAAAGGGAAACTAAATTTTATTTGCTTTCACACGCTCCACGAGTGTAACGGCGCCGTTTTGCGCAACTAGCTTCCAAAATAAGTCCGAGGTGGCGTCGGCACGTGGTTAGAGTATTTTTTTTGGTAATTAATTTATTATTTATCATAATTTTTTAACTGAATATATTTATTACTCAAATTTTGTAATGAAGAAAGAATACGAGGTGGTTCATGCTCCCACATATTCTTCAACTCTTGGTCAACTTTTCATTCTATTTTTGAGATTTGTTCCTATTGTATAGTAAAAAAATATATTAAAAGGGATAATATAAAATAAAAAAGTACGTTGTCACTTAGTACTAAGGTTTAAGAGTATTCATATTCATTTGTGAGTTAGATGTTTTAGGTTCATCCTCGTTAAAGGTAAATTTGAATCATATTATTACTAGTCTATTATAAGGCTTAATCAACTTCCTCTTCATTTTAATATAGACAATATTATTTATTAAAAAAAAAAAACTACACGTTGAAATTGTAGGCCGTTTTCTAATTTTAGAAGTAGAAGTTTTATTCTTTCTTTTATTCATAACAAAGATTTTTGTCTAAATCCCTTATAAAAATGATTTAGCAAATATAATTTCATAAGAATTTTGTAAAGTAACTTGATTATGTAGTTTTTGAAAGGGAGAATGTCTAAAATATTGATACAAAATGTTTCTTCTCGTTCAAAAGTAACTTGACTAATTGAAGGGGTGTGACTTGTGAGGAGTCTGAATCCTCTTTGTGAGAATTTCAGAAATTCGTGAATTATATCCGTTTATCATATATCGTACGATTACAAATTATTTTAAATATTTTTATTTAAAAATAAACATAAATGATACTTAATAAAAACTAACCGCTTGATATACAATAAATGAACATAAACAATAC